AAGATGTCCACCACTGTAGCTTGCTGGTTGTTGAGTGGAGCTGGATCTTAGCGTTGAGATGGAGATCTCTGGAAGAGCTTTTGCTGTTTGATATTACTTGGGGCTGGGAGGTCTCTGGCTCTCCCACCTCAGAGGCTCAGGCCTGACACCCGGCCGGAGCACCAAGACTCTGTCAACCACACAGCTCAGAAGAAAAGGGAGAAAAAGAAAGAAAGAAAAGTAAATAAATAAATAAATTTATTAAAAAATATAAAATATTATTAATAATAAAAAATTAAGAAATAAAGTAAATAAATAGAAAAGAAAGGAAGAAAGAAGAGAGCAACCAAACCAAAAAACAAATCCACCAATGATAAGAAGTGCTAAAAACTATACAAAAAAAAAGGGGGGGGGACAGATAGAACCCTAGGACAAATGGCAGAAGCAAAGCTATACAGACAAAATCACATGAAGAAGCATACACATACACACTCACAAAAAGAGAAAAAGGAAAAATAAAAAACATATATTAAAAAAAGCAATCAAATCAATAAACCTATCAATAATAATAAGCTCTAAATACTAAACTAAGATAAACATAAAACAAGAAAGAAATTAGTTGCAGAAAGCACACCCCAAGTCTACAGTTGTTCCCAAAGTCCACCGTCTCAATTTTGGGATAATTTGTTGTTTATTCAGGTATTCCACAGATGCAGGGTACATCAAGTTGATTGTGGAGATTTAATCCACTGCTCCTGAGGCTGCTGGGAGAAATTTCGCTTTCTCTTTGTTGGCACAGCTCCTGGGGTTCAGCTTTGGATTTGGCCCTGCCTCAGTGTGTAGGTCGCCTGAGGGCGTCTGTTCCCCACCCAGACAGGAGGGGGTTAAAGGTGCCCCTGATTAGGGGGCTCTGGCTCACTCAGGCCAGGGGGAGGGAGGGGAATGCAGGGCGAGTCTGCTGCGGCAGAGGCTGTCGTGACATGGCAACAGCCTGAGGCGTGCCGTGTGTTCTCCCAGGGAAGTTGTCCCTGGATCAGAGGACCCTGGCAGTAGCGGGCTGCACAGGCTCCCGGGAGGGAAGCTGTGGATAGTGACCTGTGCTTGCACACAGGCATCTTGGTGGCTGCAGTAGCAGCCTTAGCGTTTCATGCCCATCTCTGGTGTCCATTCTGATAGTCACGGCTTGTGCCCGTCTCTGGAGCTCGTTTTGGTGGTGCTCTGAATCCCCTCTCTTCGCGCACCCCGAAACAATGGTCTCTTGCCTCTTAGGCAGGTCCAGGCTTTTTCCTGGACTCCCTCCTGGCTAGCTGTGGCGCGCTAGCCCCCTTCAGGCTGTGTTCACGCAGCCAACCCCAGTCCTCTCCCTGGGATCTGACCGAAGCTGGAGCCTTACTTCCCAGCCCCCACCCGCCCCAGCGGGTGAGCAGACAAGCCTCTCGGGCTGGTGAGCGCCGGTCGGCCCCGATCCTCTGTGCGGGAATCTCTCCGCTTTGCCCTCCGCGCCCCTGCGGCTGCGCTCTCCTCCGCGGCTCCGAAGCTTCCTCCCCACCCTCCCCGCCCCCATCTCCGCCCGTGAAGGGGCTTCCTAGTGTGTGGAAACTTTTCCTCCTTCACAGCTCCCTCCCACTGGTGCAGGTCCCGTCCCTATTCTTTTTTCTCTGTTTTTTCTTTTGCCCTACCCACGTATGTGGGGAGTGTCTTGCCTTTTAGGAAGTCTGAGGTCTTCTGCCAGAGTTCAGTAGGTGTTCTGTAGGAGTTTTTCCACGTGTAGATGTATTTTCGATGTATTTGTGGGGAGGAAGGTGATCTCCACATCTTACTCCTCTGCCATCTTGAGGATCTTCAATGAACACTCTTTATACCACTAGATTTAAGAATAAAATATTATAGATAAGATACACTTGAAGCTTCCTGGTTCTCTCTCCTTAATACCATTCATTTCCTTTTCTCCCTCCTCAGAGGTAACCATTATTTTGGATTTATAATTCCATTCTATGGTTTTATATTTAGTATATATATACTCACAAAAATTTGCAGTATCATTTTGTGTATTTTTAGATTAAGAGACTAAACTGTTATATCTAATAAGAAATTCTAAAATTCAGCAGCTTAAATTATATAGAAGTTTATTTCTTTTATATAATAGCCCTGGCTGGAGAGTGCATCTGTCCTATGTAGTCATTCAGGGACCTGTTATCTTCCTAACTAGCTCTCTCTAGTTGTTGCTAATCCAGCAGGAGGTGGGGAGAGAACAAGAGTATAAGCTAGGATTTTTTTTTTTTTTTTTGCGGTACACGGGCCTCTCACTGTTGCGGCCTCTACCCTTGCGGAGCACAGGCTCCGGACGCGCAGGCTCAGTGGCCATGGCTCACGGGCCCAGCTGCTCTGCGGCATGTGGGATCTTCCCGGACCAGGGCACGAACCTGTGTCCACTTCATCGGCAGGCGGACTCTCAACCACTGCGCCACCAGGGAAGCCCTAAGCTAGGATTTTTAAGGTCTAATTTGCAGTCATCACTTTTGCTAACATTCTATTGGCAAGAGTTTAGTCACATGGCCACACCCAGCTGCAAGGAAGCCTGGTTAATTTAGTACCCAGCTGAGAGGCCTCAGCTCAGATGCAGCTCTTGTTACTGTGGAAGGAAGGGGATTTTAGTGGACAACTAGAAGTCTTTGAAACTTCTTTTAAAACTTTATAAAAATGGCATGAAACAGTAATGTATACTCCTCTCTAACTTTATTTTTTCACAAAATGTTATGATTTTTGAGGTTTATTAGACAGATAGATGTATTCTAGTTTATTCTTTTAAATTGTTTGTGGTATTGCATTTAATAAAAAACACTGTTTATCCATTCTCCGATTTGACATTTAGATTGTTTACAGTTTTCAGAATTACAATCAAGGTGGTAATGGATATTCTTGTATGTGTCCTTGTTTACATGCACAAGATGTTCTTTAGAGAAGTGCTTCCCTACCCTTTTCACACTTTGCCCACATAGAAAATGATATTTGTATGGCACACTGGTACTGTTGGGTGAGGCTTCTTGAGGTACTGCCTATCTTCTCTGAAGATTGAGAGTTAAGAGCTCTGCCTTGGTAAATAGTTGGGAAACTCTACTTTAGGTTTTGCTTGGTGGGATAGGCCCATTTTCAGTATAAGTAGTTATAAATGCTGCATTCTTTATCAGAATGGTTGTAGTAATTTACACTCTCATCAGCAATGTTTGGTGAGAATTTAGAGAAACAGTATTCAGTATTGTCAGATGTAAAAATTTTTGCCACTTAGTTGGGTATGAAGAGGTTTAACTTGTGTTTTGATTTGCATTTTTTTGGATTACAAATGAGGCTGAACATTGTTTAGTAAAGTTATTGGCTATTCTAGTTTTCTACTGAATTGCCTGTAAAATTGTGTTCTTTGTCCTTTTCTAAATAATTTGATCTCTTTTATATGGTTCTGATACCAATCATTTATTAATTTTATCTGATATAGATATTTTCTCTCACACTGTGGCTTGTTTTTTCACAAATGATATCCTTATTTAAAAAAAGCAACTTTATTAAGGTATGATTTACATAAAATAAACTGTATTGATTTAAAGTATGCAGTTCATCTCAAATGTTTTTTCATACCCTCTTGCATTTCATCCCTCTTTTCACCCTGGCCGCACACAGCCACTGATTTGTTTTCTGTCACTATAGATTAGTTTGGGTTTTCTAATGGAAATGGATTTCTAATGTGTTTCTCTAATCTTTTGAGATTCATTTGTGTTGTGTATATTAGTATTTCGTTACTCTTTATTGCTGAATAGTACTCCATTGTATGGATGCATATTTTGTTTATGCATTCTGTCTTATTGGTAGGTCTCTTTGCCAGTACTACAGAGTGTTTTTTTTTTTTTTGAAAGAGAGGAAGCAAGCTCTCTTGTGTCTCTCTTTTTTAAAAAAAAATAAATTTATTTATTTTATTTTTGGTCGCATTGGGTCTTCGTTGCTGCACCTGGGCTTTCTCTGGTTGCGGTGAGTGGGGGCTACCCTACTGTTGGTTGCAGTGCGCGGGCTTCTCATTGCAGTGGCTTCTCTTGTTGCGAAGCACAGGCTCTAGGTGCACAGGCTTCAGTAGTTGTGGTTCGTGGGTTCTAGAGTGCAGGCTCAGTAGTTGTGGCGCACTGGCTTAGTTGCTCTGCGGTGTGTGGGATCTTCCCGGACCAGGGCTCGAACCCATGTCCCCTGCATTGGCAGGAGGATTCTTAACCACTGCACCACCAGGGAAGCCTAGTACTACACAGTTTTGATTACTGTAGCTTTATAGTAAGACTTACAGTCAGGTATTATAAGTCTCCAACTTTGTTCTTTTTAAAATACTCCTTGGGTATTCTAGGTTGTTTCCTTGCCATATATAGAAATGAGAATAGCTACCTCAGGGTCGTTGAGAGGGTTAAATGAGGCAATCCTTACAAGTGCTTACTACCATGCTTGGCATTCAGTAAGGGCTCAGTATATGTCATTGTTATCTTAAAAACATTTTATTAAGTATTTACTATGTGCTAGGCACTAGGTCAGGTGTATTCACACCTGTCTATGTCTATGTTTATGTATAGATACACACATATACTTTATCTCCTTCCAGTTTCTTTTGCTTTCTTCACTTGTAAACAGGGAGGGAGTGGTCTGTGCAAATGTAGGACTTGAGACCAAGTATGTCTTTATACAAAGGGTTGAAAATGACCATCTCCTTGTGTTTTGTGGTGGCCTGAGAGAAACAGGGAAGATGGCAAGAATAGTTCTGGTACCATATATTCCTGGCATGTTTGAGATCCTGAAGGATGGAAAGGCTACACAGTTAATAATAATCTTATTTTATGATTCTCTTTTTATTACTTGTCATTGCATCAGCTGAACTAATTCCAATATAACATTCTCATACTTGAGTTAATACTGAAACCTGAAATGTGTGACTGATTAAGGCAGGGAAAAGGAATGAATTCCTATGTTTCCTGAAATGCTGAATTTTTTATTCATAGCTTTAGCATTTCCAGGTCATGTGGCTGCCTTTAAGGGTGATTTGGAAATGCTTAAGAAATTAATAGAAGATGGAGTAATCAATATTAATGAACGTGATAATAATGGATCAACTCTTATGCATAAAGGTAAGTTATGATTCCTGCTTCATCTTCAGTTCTGACACAATTGCTGTTGAGTTATTTAGCTTTTATTTTTCATTTATTTATTAAAAAAATGTATTTATTATTTATTTTTGGCTGTGTTGGGTCTTTGCTGCTGCGCACTGGCTTTCTCTAGTTGGGGCGAGCAGGGGCTACTCTTTGTTTTGGTGCGCGGGCTTCTCATTGCAGTGGCTTCTCTTGTTGTGGAGCATGGGCTCTAAGCACACGGGCTTCAGTAGTTGTGGCACATGGTAGTTGCTCCGACACAATTGCTGTTGAGTTATTTAGCTTTTATTTTTCATTTATTTATTAAAAAAATGTATTTATTATTTATTTTTGGCTGTGTTGGGTCTTTGCTGCTGCGCACTGGCTTTCTCTAGTTGGGGCGAGCAGGGGCTACTCTTTGTTTTGGTGCGCGGGCTTCTCATTGCAGTGGCTTCTCTTGTTGTGGAGCATGGGCTCTAAGCACACGGGCTTCAGTAGTTGTGGCACATGGGCTTAGTTGCTCCATGGCATGTGGGATCTTCCTGGACCAGGGCTCGGACCCGTGTCCCCTGCATTGGCAGGCGGATTCTTAACCACTGCACCACCAGGGAAGTCCCCCCTCAGGTTTCTTGACTAAGGTTACACAGCTAGTAAGAGCAAAGCTGAGGTTTCATTCATTTTTTTCCATTCATTTATTCATCAACTCTATAGACATTTATTGAGTGTCTTTATACACCAGCCACTTGCTAAGTTCTGTCCTGTCCTCCAATCTGTTGTTTAGTGGACCTAAACTCAGATCTTTTTAGACTGAGTTTCCCCCCAACAGTTTCCCTGCATTTTGAGATGGACCTAGAAGGAGGGTAGAAATTAGATGATCATATGATTGAGTGATGGGTAGTAGGTGAGAAGACACATAAGCAGAGTTGTGGAGGTGAAAATTAATATTGAGTGCATGTGTTTTAAGGAAAGGTGGTGAACAGTTTAGGTAATCAGTGAGGGGCCCTGAACATTTTGAGTTATGAGGGTCAGAGGAATAAGCTATTTATACAAGATGGCAAAAGATTTTCAAAGTCTTTCACATTCACACAGATTGCACTTACATTTGGCCTGGTACAAGATTGGTCAGGAGCTATGAATACAGTAGATGAGCACTGGATAAGGATTAGAAAAAACCTAGATTATAGTTTCAAATCCATTACTTACTGGCTGTATGATGTTAAATAGTCTCTTTGAGCTTCAGCGTCTATATCTGTATGTAAAGCTCTCTGCATAGGGGCTGAGTACAGCAGATACTTGATTAAATATTTGTCTAATGAATGAATAAATGAAATAGAGAAAATAACATCTGGCCAACCTACTTCTGTTGGTTATTGTAAGGATTAGTATTTACAAAAATACTCTGCAGTGGTACTGTCCAAAATTTTAGCAAATTGTTCTAATAACTAACTTTTTTGTGTGTACATTTTGTTTTGTTTTTACAGCTGCTGGGCAAGGCCACATAGAGTGTTTGCAGTGGCTAATTAAAATGGGAGCAGACAGTAATATTACCAACAAAGCAAGGGAGAAACCCAGGGATGTGGCTAAGAGGTATCCCTATCTGCTTTGCTTCTTTCTTTTGTTTTTAAAGTTTTGCATTTACTGTCCTAAACTCATAAATCTCTGAAGATTTCTGGATTATAGGACTCAGTCAAATGCTGATGGAGTGATAATTTTCAAGCTGAATTGACATTTGACAACATATCAGCTCTTCTCTCTAAAGCAGTGATTCTCAGCTGGGAGGTAGTAGTCCCCCTTCTCGGGGGGTGTGCATTTGGAAATGTAGGGAGGGGGTTGTCACAGTGATGGAGACCATCACTAATGTTTCATGAGGTCAGGTCCAGGAATGCCAGACATTCTACAGTGCTCAGAACAGTAGTGTACAACAAAGAATTGTCCCACCCAAATGCTGGTACCTGTTGAGAAATGCTGTGTGATAAAAAGGAGTAATCAAAAGGAGTCACACGGATTTTGAAACAAATTTCAATATTTATATTTGAATTAAATGTAACACCTATTATTGAACACCTCCAGCTCATTCAGTTCAGGCCCTCACGGAATATTTAGTTCATCCATTTGTTCATTTGATTGTTTTTCATTCAACTTCCTGTATACTTACCATGCTCCAAGTGCTATGGTTAGCATTAAGTTTACCAAGATGAAAAAAAATAGTCCTTGCCCTCAAGAAACTTACAGTCTTGTGGAGAGACAAATGTGCAAACATAACTTTTATTGATTATAATCAGTATGTCGTATTACATGTCATGTATAAGGTGTAGTAAGAGCACAGAAGAAAAAGTGCCCAAGTATTCCTATTCTAAAGTTGTGGGGGAGAAATGTTAATACAGATGATGGTAAGAGTTATGAAGGCAACTGCGGGAGACAGAATTTATATAGAAGTCTGGGAAAACTTTTTTTTGGAGAAAGCAACATTTATGCTGACACTTGAAGGAGGAAGAGTTTTAAGATAACACCTTGTGTGTCTGAGGAACGCATGTGGTTCAGAACTGCTTGAATCTAAAGTAGGAGTGTGAGCTAAAAGTTGCACATGAGGCTTGACGGGATGCAAGGGCCTAATTATTCATTAAATTGCCCTGCAATTTTTGTTTGTGAGTTCATGTTCCTTAAAATTTTGTCTGTGGGATCTCTTTGAAGCCATGGAATATGGTTTTGTTTTACCACATAGTAGCATCATTATCAACTCAGGCCCACTATTTTTTATTTTTTAAAATAGCTTTATCAAGGTATAATCGGCATATAGTAAAGTACACATATTTGTACAGCACAAACTGATGAATTCTGATATATGTATGTACCTGTGAAATCATCACCACAATCAAGATAGTGAACATATCCATCACCCCCTAAAATCTTGTGCACCTTTGTAATCTCTCCCTCCTACTGCTTTCCACTGCCCCATCCCCAAACAGCCACTAATTTGCTTTCTGTCACTGTAGATTAGTTTGCATTTGCTAGAATTTTATATAAATGGAATCATACAGTATGTACTCTTATATATTTGGCTTTTTCCACTCAGCATAATTATTTTGAAAATCATTCATGTGTATTAGTGGTTCATGTCTTATTGCTGAGTAGTATTCCATTGACTGTGGAATTCCATAGTATTCCATAGTTTGCTTATCCCCTAATCTGTTGAAGGATATCTTGTTTGTATCTACTTTTTGGTGATTATGAATAAAGCTGCTATAAACATTCAGATACAGATTTTTGTGTGAACATAAGTTTTCAGTTCACTTGAGTAATACGTAGGAGTAGGATTGCTGAGTCAGATGCTAAGAGGGTGTGTTTATCTTTATAAGAAACTGCCACAGTGCCTTCCAAAGTGACCACACCAATTTGCATTCCATCAGCAGTGGATGAGTGTTTCTGTTGCTTCTTATCTTGCCAGCATTTGATATTGTCAGATTTTTTGATTTTCGTAATTCCAGTAGGTGTGTAGTGGCGTCTCATTGTGTTTTTTGTTTTTTCCTAATGGAAAATGATTTGGGTCATCTTTTCATATACATATTTGCCATTTGTATGTTTTCCTTTGGTGAAGTGACTGTTCAGATCTTTTATCCACTTTTAAAACTTGGGTGGTTTTCTTATTGTTGAGTTTTAAGAACTCTTTCTATATTCTGGATACTAGTTCTTTCTCACATTTTTGTTTTGTGAAGATTTTCTCCCAGTTGTGGTTTGTTTTTTCATTCTCTTAACAATGAAGAGCAAAATTTTTTTATCAATCTGCTCTTTTATGGGTTATGCTTTTGGTATCATATCTAAGAAATCTTTGATTTACACCAGGTCACAAAGATTTTCTTTTATGTTTTCTTTTAGACATTGTTATAGATACAGTTTTAGGTTTTACATTAAGTTATGTGATCCATTTTGAGTTAATTTTTGTATGTGGTATAAGGTATGTATCCAAGTTCTTTTTTTTGCATATGGATATCTAATTGTTCTAGCACCATTTGTTGAAAAAGCTGTCCTTTTTCTTCTATTGCCTTTGTGTCTTTGTCCAAGTCAGGTGTCCATGTATGCGTGGGCTTATGTCCGTAGTCTGTATTTTATCCATTGATCTATTTGTCTCTCTTTATATCAGTATCACATGGGTGATTTAATACTGTATCTGAATATATTCATAATTTCTGACCCACATTTCTTTGTCATTCATGCACCAAAGTGCTAGTGTGAGTGTAGTGTTATAGAAATAACCTTGAATCTGGCATAAAGCAAGTACTCAGTAAATGATAGCTGTGAAGTGACAATCTAGTAATAGAGATAATGAATTCTATTAACCGTACAACTTCCTATGTTTATTACTATATTGTTAATGATTTGCAGTACCTGGTGAAAGGTAAAGATATATGTGTGCATGTGCACATGGTTATGGAAGTGTGTGAACAAAATAAAATTTGAGGTTTTTATGTTTAGCGAGTAATTCTCCATGTCCTAAGAGAAAGCACTGAACATTTTTTTTTTTAATTAATTAATTAATTTATTTTTGCTTAGGTTGGGTTTTTGCTGCTGCGCGCGGGCTTTCTCTAGTTGCGGTATGCGGGCTTCTCATTGCGGTGGCTTATTTTGCTGCAGAGCACGGCCTCTATGCGCACGGGCTTCAGCGGTTGTGGCACACGGGCTCAGTGGTTATGGCTTGCGGGCTCTAGAGCGCAGGCTCAGTTGCTGTGGTGCATGGACTTAGTTGCTCTGCGGCATGTGGGATCTTCCCAGATCAGGGCTCAAATCCGTGTCCCCTGCATTGGCAGGCGGACTCCCAACCACTGCACCACCAGGGATGTCCCAGCATTGAACATTTTAATTAGCAAAACTGTGGGAAAAATATGCAGATTACATACAATCACAACAACAACTTGAAAACCAAGGGTATATTATTAGAAGCTTCATAGAGATGTGGGAAAGATCAAAGAAAATAAGAAATGTGGATATGAAAGTCATTATTTTTCCATTAAATTTCAAAGCCATGCTGAGTGCTTTGAGGGTTGAGGAAGGATGAAGATTAAGGGGGCTAGAGCTGTAGTTTTCCCTAAAACTGGAACCAGAACTAATTCTATGATCTAAATTAGGCCATCAGGAAAAGGTAGTAAATACAGGTAAATCAAGTAGGGTGGTTCCGGGCTTTCTACTCAGTTGAGCAGCTCCGTCTGGGGACACACCAAATATTCTTTGGATATTGGGTCACTTCTTTCAGTTGGATTTTTGCCACTAAGAACTGGAATCTGGGAATTCCCAGGCAGTCCAGTAGTTAGGACTCCTCACTTTCACTGCTGAGGGCCCCAGTTCAATTCCTGGTCGGGCAGCTAAGATCCCACAAGCCCTGCGGCATGGCCAAAAAAAAAAATTCTGGAATCAGTCTTTAATATGACCGCTTGTCCTTAGTTTCCACTAACTGTTTGAATTCCCCACATTGCTGGATATGCATCAAATTGTCACTGACCTTCAGATACAGTTTTCGTTCTTCACTGGTGCGTGAGTTGGTGGGATAATATAGAGTGTAATTCCCTGAATTAAATGCAAACTGCTATTTCAATTAGAAAAAGATTGTGGATCTTATAATTACTAATTCTTTTCTACAGGTTTGCCCATTTAGCAGCAGTAAAGCTATTGGAAGGACTACAGAAATATGATACAGATGATGAGAGTGAAATTGATGAAAATGATATTAAGTTTTTCATAAGACATGGTGTTGAGGGAAGCACTGATGCCAAGGATGATACAGGTCTCAGTGAGTCGGATAAAACAGATGCCAGAGGTAAGTGTGCCAACTCTTCCATGATTTTTCCTTTAAAAAATACCACAGATTTGGGAATTATTTTAAAGACAACTACCATCTACAAGGTAAAATACTTTGATATTTTTGGGGGAACCAGAACTAGTACAAATTTTTGTACTAGGGGTTGTTGAACATATAAAGAATGATCTTTGTCCCTCAAAGAGGAAAGGGGTATTTTCCTGCCATATAACCCTGATTTCACTTCTCATGATATTTGTCAGAGAGCCATGGTTCATATGAATGGATGAGAAGAACTGTTTCAATGGCACTCTTTCATAGAAGAAAGGTGAGAAGGATCTTTTTGAACGGAGGCTAACCAAAGGCAGCTGTAGTAAAGTGAGCAGAGCTTGGCACTGGATTCAGACATCAGAGCTTCACCTCTTTCTAGCTGTGTTACTTTCTGAACCTTGGTTTCCTCATCTGTAAAAATGAGAATATTAACGTAATGTCATCCCACAGACTACACTAGAGAATGGGAAGTGCCTAGAGGCTTAGTAAATGTCAATTCCCTTCCTCGTGATCTCTGGAAAGTATATTCAGTTATTCTGACAGGAAAAACTAGTACCAAAACTGTATTGTCTGAGAAAAACTTCTAATTCATGTCTAAATTAAAAAAAAATTTTTTTTTAAGAGCTCCCAGAACATCGTCAGGCAGAACCTCACTCTTCAGGTGATAGTAGAAGCCTCTTTCCTGGTGAATGCAACCTAAAAGATGCTGATATTAGGGGCTCCCAACAAGCAGCCCACCTGGATCACCCCACAGTGAGGCTCAGAGTCAATGATCCCTTCAGAATTTCCTGACAGCTTTATTTTAAATAGCTTCACTGAGATATAATTCACATACCATTCAATTTACCCATTTAAGGTGTACAATTTTTAATGGTTTTTAGTATATTCAGATTTGTGCAACCATTATTACAATGAAATTTGTAACATTTCCATCACCCCCCAAAAGAAACCTCATACCCATTAGTAGTCAATCCCCCTAACCTCTACCTCCTCCCTTCCCCTCAAACCACCCCCCAATTAGGCAACTGCTAATCTACTGTCTGTCTCTATAGGTTTGCCTATTTGGGGCATTTCATATGAATGGGATGATACCATATATGGTCTTTTGTGACTGGCTTCTTTCACTTAGTACAATGTCTTCAAGGTTTATGCACATTGTAATGTGGATCATTACTTCATACTTTATTCCTTTTTATTGCCAAATAATATTTTTGTATGGATATACCACATTTTATTTTATTTTTAATTTATTTATTTTTTCCTAAATTTATTTGGCTGCACTGGGTCTTAGTTGTGGCATGCAGGATCTTTGTAGTGGCATGCAAGCTCTTAGTTGCAGCATGTGGGATCTAGTTCCCTGACCAGAGATCACACCCGGCCCCTCTGCATTGGGAATGTGGAGTCTGAGCCACTGGACCACCAGGGAAGTCCCTATACCACATTTTATATATCTGTTCATCAGTTGTCGGACATTTGTTTCCACATTTTGGCTATTAAGAATAATGCTGCTAGGACTTCCCTGGTGGTCCAGTGGGTAAGACTCCACGCTCCCAGTGCAGGGGGCCCGGGTTCGATCCCTGGTTGGGGAACTAGATCCCACATGCCGCAACTAAGAAGTCCGCATGTTGCAACTAAAGATCCCACATGCCGCAATGAAGATCCCACGTGCCACAGCTAAGACCTGGCACAGCCTAAATAAATAAATAAATAAATATTAAAAAAAATAATGCTGCTATGAACATTTGTATGCATGCTTTTTTGAAAGTGGAAATGTATTTTCATTTCTCTTGGATATACACCTAGCAGTTGGAATTGCTGCATCATCTGGTAAAAATATGTCTAACATTTTGAGGAACTTTCAAGCTGTTATGCAAAATAGCTGCACCATTTTATATTTCCACCAACAATGCCTGAGGGTTCCAGTTTCTCCCCTTCCTTGCCAATACTCGTTATTGTTTGTCTTGTTAATAACTAAAACTGTTTTAGTGAGTGTGTAGTGGTATCTCAGTGTAGATTTGATTGGTGTTTCCCTAATGAATAATGATGTTGAGTATCTTTTCATGTGCCCATTGATCATTTGTATATCTTTTGGAGAAATGTCTATTCAAATCCTTTGCCTATTTTTCAACTGAGTTGTTTATCTTTTTACTGTTGAGTTGTAAGAGTACTTGCAGATATAAGTCCCTTATATCTGCAAGTATAAGTATTTGCAGATATTTTCTCCTATTCTGTGGGTTGTCTTTTAACTTTTTTTTTTAACATCTTTATTGGAGTATAATTGCTTTACAATGGTGTGTTAGTTTCTGCTTTATAACAAAGTGAATCAGTTATTCATATAAACATCTTTATTGGGGTATAATTGCTTTACAATGGTGTGTTAGTTTCTGCTTTATAACAGAGTGAGTCAGTTATACATATATATATGTTCCCATATCTCTTCCCTCTTTGTCTCCCTCCCTCCCACCCTCCCTATCCCACCCCTCCAGACAGCCACAAAGAACCGAGCCGGTTTCCCTGTGCCATGCGGCTGCTTCCCACTGGCTATCTACCTTACGTTTGTTAGTATATATATGTCCATGTCTCTCTCTCGCCCTAACACACCTCACCCTTCCCCCTCCCCTCAAGTCCATTCTCTAGTAGGTCTGTGTCTTTATTCTTGTCTTACCCCTAGGTTCTTCATGACCTTGTTTTTTTTTCTTCTTAGATTCCATATATATGTGTTAGCATACAGTATTTGTTTTTCTCTTTCTGAATTACATCACTCTGTAAGACAGACTCTAGGTCCATCCACCTCACTACAAATATCTCAATTTCGTTTCTTTTTATGGCTGAGTAATATTCCATCGTATATATGTGCCACATCTTCTTTATCCATTCATCTGATGATGGACACTTAGGTTGCTTCCATGTCCTGGTATTGTAAATAGAGCCGCAATGAACATTTTAGTACATGACTCTTTTTTTTTTCGGTACGCGGGCCTCTTACTGCTGTGGCCTCTCCTGTTGCGGAGCACAGGCTCCGGACGCGCAGGCTCAGCGGCCATGGCTCACAGGCCCAGCCGCTCCGTGGCACGTGGGATCCTCCCAGACCGGGGCACGAACCTGTGTCCCCTGCATCGGCAGGCAGAATCTCAACCACTGCACTACCAGGGAAGCCCACATGACTCTTTTTGAATTATGGTTTTCTCAGGGTATATGCCCAGTAGTGGGATTGCTGGGTCATATGGTAGTTCTATTTTTAGATTTTTAAGGAACCTCCATACTGTTCTCCATAGTGGTTGTATCAATTTACATTCCCACCAGCAGTGCAAGAGGGTTCCCTTTTCTCCACACCCTCTCCAGCATTTATTGTTTCTAGATTTTTTGATGATGGCCATTCTGACTGGTGTGAGATGATATCTCATTGTAGTTTTGATTTGCATTTCTCTAATGATTAATGATGTTGAGCATTCTTTCATGTGTTTGTTGGCAGTCTGTATATCTTCTTTGGAGAAATGTCTATTTAGGTCTTCTGCCCATTTTTGGATTGGGTTGTTTGTTTTTTTGTTATTGAGCTGCATGAGCTGCTTGTAAATTTTGGAGATTAATCCTTTGTCAGTTGCTTCATTTGCAAATGTTTTCTCCCATTCTGAGGGTTGTCTTTTCGTCTTGTTTATGGTTTTCTTTGCTGTGCAAAAGCTTTTAAGTTTAATTAGGTCTCATTTGTTTAGTTTTGTTTTTATTTCCTTTTCTCTAGGAGGTGGGTCAAAAAGGATCTTGCTGTGATTTATGTCATAGAGTGTTCTGCCTATGTTTTCCTCTAAGAGTTTGATAGTTTCTGGCCTTACATTTAGGTCTTTAATCCATTTTGAGTTTATTTTTGTGTATGGTGTTAGGGAGTGTTCTAATTTCATACTTTTACATGTACCTGTCCAGTTTTCCCAGCACCACTTATTGAGGAGGCTGTCTTTTATCCTAACTTTCTTAATGATGTCCTTGCCAGTGCAAGTTTTTAATTTTGATGCAATCCATTTTATCTATTTTAAAATTTTGTTTGTGCTTATATTTCTTTTTTGTTAATTGTACTAAGGATTAGCAAGGACTTATTAGAACTGCAGAAGATGAACAGTTGATTTGTAGAATTTCAGTGTCTTCTGAAATTAGTTGAGTAGGAGATTTTTGTGAAGGGATCATTGTCAGTGAATCACAAAAATTTTAAAAGATGTTTTAGGAAAGACCAAGAACGAGGCTAGAACAGTTTCCTTCTGTGGTGTGTTTGACACAAATGCACTCTTACACCCTTGCCATATAGTGAGGCTCTGGCTGGTGCCCAGCTGGGGTGCTTGCAGCTAGTGAAGGTACTATATATGAAGTCATGTGCTATTTGACATGACTATTTAATTTTATTCCAGGGCAAAATCCAAAGGACTGGCCAGTCTCTTCTTGGAATACTAGGTTTTGCCAGAGTGCCTACAGGGAACTGATTGGATTTCTTGTCATCACAGACTTCTTGGAACTGAGCCTCAATTCAGAGCATTATTTAGTGAATTAGGTTTAGGGTCATGGCATCGTAGAACCCCATTTGAGGTTTGACTCCTGGCTCAACATTCCTGTCACATGTCATCCAGCATCCAATCACCTTCAGTGACAAGGCCCCCACTATCACCCATGTGGCCCATTTCTACCTTTTGACAGGGGTAAATGTATAAGGCACTTATCGTAGTGTCCTTCCCATCACAGGCACTCCACAAATACATGATAGCTCTTAACTGTTGTTTTTTTTTTAACATCTTTATTGGAGTATGATTGCTTTACAGTGGTGTGTTAGTTTCTGCTTTATAACAAAGTGAATCAGTTATATATATACATATGTTCCCATATCTCTTCCCTCTTGCCTCTCCCTCCCTCCCACCCTCTTAACTGTTTTTGTTGAAAAGTTTCGCCTTTCTTAAGATCTTTCTTCCTGGAACTAATCCCTATTAATCCTAGCTCTTACCTCCGATGATCCCATAGAACAGCTCTTTCAAAACATAGTCTTCAAATGTTAAAGAATTAAATAAACCATCACAATTCTTTCCATTTTATGTAACATTAAAAAAAAAGATCCCCTCTACTTGTTTGCTATTAGTTATGGTGGATCCCAAACCTGTCTGCCTGTCAGAATTGTCTGAGGAGCTTTTACTAACTACTGATGCCTGAATTTGTAGAACTGCTATGGGGCTCAAACATATACATTTTTAAAAAGTACCCCAGTTGATTCTGATGTATGTAGTTTGGAACCTGCAGCTCTAACCTATTGAGAGATAAATCAGAGTGGTGAGTGTCAGGGAGAAGAGGCTGTGATTTGCTAACCTGGTTGTAAAGCAGAGTTTCTCAGCTTCTGTGTTATTGACATTTTGGGCCAGATACTTTTTTGTTGAGGGGGGCCCACCTGTGCATTTTAAGATATTTAGCATCCCGAGCCTCTACATGCCAATAGTCTGTTTCCCTCCATCCCCCGAGGTTTAACAAGTAAAAGGTCTCCAGATACTGCCAAGTGTTCCTTGGAGGAGAAAATCACCCCAGGTTGAGAACTTGTACCACAAAGGATAGAAAAAATCATGGTTTTGATAGCTGGAGAATAGCTCAAGGTAGCTCTTAACACACTTCCTTCTCAATATCCTCTTGCCTAGATATTACAAGTAACTAATCATAAAATTTGGGGGCTGGATTAGTTCTGATTTATCATAAATAAATCAAGCATATTTCAGTTTTTCTAATTTTCTGACGTAAATAGATTGTGCATGGTCCTGTAATATACAACTAGTCCTAAAACACTGCTAGCCAGCCTCCCTCCCCTCCCCTCCCCTTCCCTGGCATTAATAGTCATAACAATGATATATCCTCCAACAGCAGGAACAGAATCCTCCATTTAGATATTTCACTGCTTGTTCACCCTAATACTCTGCTACTGATATGTGTCCTTCTATGTAGACACCACCCTCCCTCCATCTCCTTCCCTGAACCATACAGACACTGATCATGCAGACACTGGCTTTAGAGGAAGAGTATGCTCCAGGACCAGCATCCTGTGAGCTCATGAGCTGTTATCTGTCTAAACTAGGTTCCTGTTCAACTCTGTCTTGCAGTGAGAGCTTATAAGAAAATTGTAGAATTGAGACACCTCCTGGAAATTGCAGAGAGCAACTATAAACACTTGGGAGGCATAACAGAAGAAGATCTAAAGCAGAAGAAGGAACAGCTTGAGTCTGAAAAGTAATGTCCTCAAAACTTTGATGGTTTGTTTTTACTTACCTTTCTAAACGCCACGTGAGGGTTTGTTGATTAACAACTTATTTTTTCATCCCCACCAAAGGGTGTGAGTTTCCAACCTGTTTTCCTCCTAAGCCCCCAGATGGAGAAGGTGTTAAGATTTTTAAAAAATTGTGGTAAGGGACTTTCCTGGTGGCACAGTGGTTAAGAATCCACCTGCTAGTGCAGGGGACATGGGTTCGAGCCCCGGGATGGGAAGATCCCACATGCCACGGAGCAACTAAGCCCGTGCACCCCAACTGCTGAAGCCCGCGTGCCTAGAGCCTGTGCTCTGCAACAAGAGAAGCCACTGCAGTGAGAAGCCTGTGCACCGCAACAGAGTAGCCTCCACTCGTCGCAACTAGGGAAAGCCTGCACGCAGCAACAAAGGCCCAACACAGGTCTTAGTTGTGGTGCAAAAAAATTGTGCACCAATTAAAATTTTTTTTTTAATTTTTTAAAAATTAAAAAAAATTGTGGTAAAATGTACATAAGCATAAAATATATCTTAACCACTTTTAAGGCAGAATTCAGTAGTGTTAAGTACATTCCACATTTTTGTACAACCGTCCTCCATAACTTTTTGTCTCACAAAACTAAAACTAAGAAGAGAGTTCATTTTTTTTTTTTTTTTTTTTTTTTTTTTTTTTTTTTTTTTCCCGGCCCTGCCTTTTACTAGCTGTGCAGTCTGGACAAGCTGGGTAAACACTCAGCTGTACAATGAAAGGGACAGGTCCACGGTCCCCATGGGGCAGTGGAGAGAGCCCTGCTGGGGGAGTCAGGCAGGCCTAGGGCCTACCCAGGTTGGCTGTGACCATCAAAGAGACACTCCCGTTGCGGAGCACAGGCTCCGGACGCGCAGGCTCAGCGGCCATGGCCCACGGGCCCAGCTGCACCGCGGCACGTGGGATCCTCCCGGACCAGGGCACAAACCCGGGTCCCCTGCATTGGCAGGAGGACTCCCAACCACTGCGCTACCAGGGAAGCCCCTTTGTTTTTTTGAGACCACAGCTACTTTGAGCTTTTCAACCAACACAGTCTCTAGCCATACCTATCGAATTGGACTGCTTGCTCACAAGTCACCAACCTAGTCGTATGTTCACGGACAGTGGCACCCCTCAGAACGCTTGCATATTCCCTCACCTTTCACTTCCTGCACCTGAAATTGGCTCTCGGTACATATGGTACCTCTCTAGTTAATTAATGGCTGCTGGGATAGAGGATGCCAAGTGCTTATTTCCTCCCACTGCCTCTTTGCTTGTCTCTCTGCTTTCCACAGTGGACAGGGAACACAGGGAGACAGGAGGGGAGACTTGTAGTTTAATCAAAACATGGGTCTGTAAAGAGCAGTGCACACGGATTCTCTGCTTCCCCTGCCCTTTCCTTTGGT